CACACACACATATATATATATATATATATATATATATACACATGATTTTGCACAGCCCTGCCGCCCTGTAGCAGCAGTTCAGCTATAGGGCAGTCGGGAATTGGTTAATATTACTTGAATATACATGTACAGTATATCTAAATAACTACTCATAAAAGATGACTAAAGGGAATTGTTTAAAATCTAGTGGCCATGTCCAAAAGTAAAAATAATTCATACCCCAGAAGCCAAGTGTTTTGTTATGCCTATTAAACTGCTGTAAGCTACTGCCTACATACAGTAAATCTCATTTGGGTACAGTATTGCATGAGCAATTGCCAGTTAAAGTAGCGAATAGCAAAAAAAAAAATACTCTGGTCATGAATTGGGTAAAACCTTCTAAAATGGTTAAAAATGGTAATGTTGATATATGGCGTTTTAGTAAACAAAATACCATTCAGTTAAAGTTTACACTACATCTGTTTTAACAACATCCCTGTACTCTGGGGAGCCCTGGAAGTCTGATTTGTGTTATACTACAATAATAATGTTAGCTAGATAATCATTTAAAAGCAAGCAACTATAAAACTATGATATCATATGTAATATTGCTTCTAGTTATAAGAAATATTATATAGAACAGTGTATGAAATGGTATATGAATCACTGAATTTTTCTGCACATGAGCTCGAGTCAGAATATGGTTTTGAGTTTTAGAGATCACAGAACAAATCATGAATTGATTCCACACTATGTAAAACCCATCTCAGTAACCTGCAGTGTAAGTGATTATAATCTGTTTATCAGACCTTCCTGTTGCTCCAAAGTGGGAGCAAAACCCAACACTCCCTAAGTAGAAAAACCTTTTGGCATACCAGCCATAACATTAAAAATGATGATGACTTTAAATCAAACTTTTGCCTTCCACAGGGAATGTGGGGGACATGTGGATTTTTAAATGGAAATACCATGTTCCTCTCTCATCTGTCATTTACAGTTAACTACATTGCTGTCCTACCAACATCTGTCCTTCACTGCCAAATATCCCTTTAAAGTCTTTTTTTCTGTTTATCCAGCTGCTTGCTTTGGAAAGATTATCCAATCCTCTTTTAGGACTTTTCCATTGGCCTCTAACAAACAGAATGTGGGATTAGAGGAATGGCTACTTGCCTGGCAATGTGTGATCCAGACACCCAATGTTTATAGAATAGTTGGTTACAGTTAGAAAGTCAGTCATTAATGCCAACAATAAAATCCACAGTGCTTTTTTAATTTCCTTCTTATTTGCAAAGTACTTTACATAATGACTAAAATAGAGCATTCTGTCATTACGAAATTATTAATGTAAATAATTGATTGGTTAAATAATACATTTGGAAAATAAGACTTTATAGTGCATAGGCATTCCTCTAGTATGATATAAGTATTTCGAAAATAACACTTTATAGAGCATAGACCTTCCTCTAGTATGATATACATTCACCTTCACTTTATTAGGGACACCTTGCTAGTGCCAAGAAAATATCCCCCACACCATTACACCACCACCCCCAGCCTGAACTGTTGATACAAGACAGGATGGATCCATGATATCATGTTGTTTACGCCAAATTCTGGAACCACCATCTGAATGTTGCAGCAACCAGTCTGCCCATACTCACAACTTATTTTTGTCCACACAACTGTTCACTGGATATTTTCTCTTTTATGGACCATTCTTTGTAAACTCTAGAGATGGTTGTGCATGAAAATCCGAGTAGGTTATCAATTTTTAAAATACTCAGACCTGCCCGTCTGGCACCAACAACCATGCCACATTCAAAGTCACTTAAATCCTCTTTCTTTCCCATTCTGATGTTCAGTTTGAACTTCAGAAAGTCATCTTCACCACGTCTACATGCCTAAATGCATTGAGTTGTTGTTATGTGATTAGCTGATTAGCAATTTGTGTTACCAAGCAATTGAACAGGTATACCAAATCAAGTGGCCAGTGAGTGTATGTACACTATATTAACAAAAGTATTGGGATGTCTGCCTTTACACGCATGAATTTTTAAACCTTTATATATATATATATATATATATATATATATATATATATATATATATATATATATATATACATATATATATTAATGATGGGCTTGATGTTCAAGTCGAACGTAAGTTTGACTTGAACATCAATCGTTTGTGTGTTCAGCGAACACAAAAACATTAAAGGCGTTCAGCAGGCTCTTCACCAGCCACACCCAAAAATGCACTGCGCTCTGACAGTGCATTGTGATTGGCCAAAGCAATGCACCTGACCACAGGTCAGGTGCAATGCTTTGGCCAATCACAGCACAGCTGGGCAGAGCTAGCAGTGACTAGCTCCACCCAATTGTTTACATCTGACCAGCAAATGTCAGATAGCGGCAAGTGCTCGGCGAGTTGTCAACGTCGTGACAATGCTGGACGGCGTGATTGACGATGGATTACGATGGAACCATTTTTTTTTACTTTTTTTTTTTTATAAAGGACTTGTCAAAAACTGTTGTGTTTTATTCACACTTCACACTTTCTTGGTAAATAGGTAGCAGTACTATATACTCCATACTCATTCACAAGGAGGAGGGGTGGGGATCTGCGGGCCCCCTTGTTAAAGGGGGCTTCCAGATTCTGACAAGCCATTCCCCGTAGACCCCCACAACCCTGGACTGCCCTTGTCCCCATCAACATGTTGAGGTCATGTGGACTGGTAGGGTTCGGGGGGGGGGGGCCTTTCCTGGCCTGCCAGGTCTGTGCTCGGATTAAAGGTCTGGTAGGAATTTAGGGGGGACCCCACGCTTCCCTCCCATTTGTGAAGGGTGGGGTTCCCCTTAAAAGTCCTACCAGGCCTAAAGGACTTGGTATGGCTTTTAGGGGGAACCCCACGCACATTTTAATTTTTTTTTTTATTGTGGAGTCCCTCCTAACCTTTCTACCATACCTAAAGAGTCTGGTATGGATTGGGGGGGGACTCCACACTGTATTTTCTTTTTTACTAAAAATTTCATTTAGAAATAAAATGTCAGTCCTTTTGAAGCAGGTTCTATACATTGTACAGATGTGCAACATTGCAGGTAGTTTAAGCCCCCCCAGGTGTGATATTTAAAGGATTTTTATTTTTTACTTTAAGCAATGAAAAATGACTGCCCCTTTAAAAATGGTGCTTTTTGAATTTTTTTTTTCACTGATTTATATCCCGAGCACCCGAGTCCCCATACCCCTTTTATAGCCAATAACTTGCATATAAGCCTTCAAAAATGGGCACTTTTGAATTTACAAGTTCGAGTCTCATAGACTTGCATTATGTTCGAAGTTTGCGGTCAAACTTTCGTTAGGTTCGACCGCGAACCAGACAGGGGGGTGTTGGCCCATCACTAAAATTATATATATATACCGTATTTGCCGGCGTATAAGACGACCCCCTACTTTTCCTGTTAAAATATAGGGTTTGAGCTATACTCGCCGTATAAGACTACCCCTCTTCCAACGCGCCCCATCATTGGTGTCAGTGTGGAGGAGGAATAGTGCCCCATCATTGGTGTCAGTGGGGAGGAGGAATAGTGCCCCATCGTTGGTGTCAGTGGGGGAGGAATAGTGCCCCATCATTGGTGTCAGTAGGGGAGGAATAGTGCCCCATCATTGGTATCAGTGGGGAGAAAAGTGCCCCATCATTGGTGTCAGTGGGGAGGAGGAATAGTGCCCCATCGTTGGTGTCAGTGGGGAGGAGGAATAGTGCCCCATCGTTGTGTCAGTGGGGAGTAGGAATAGTGCCCCATCAGTGGGGAGTAGGAATAGTGCCCCATCGTTGGTGTCAGTGGGGGAGGAACAGTACCTCATCGTTGGTGTCAGTGTGGAGGAGGAATAGTGCCCCATCGTTAGTGTCAGTGGGGGAGAGGAGCGGCTGCTCCTTCTTTTAGTTCGGCCGCCGCTTGATTTTCGCGGGGCCGTTCGGCTCCGCCTCCTCGCCGGTGATTGGTCGCCTGTGTGCCTTTCCAGTGCTGGCGCCCAATCACCGGTGAGGAGGCGGAGCCGAGCGGGCGGCGGCGGGACCATCGAGCGGCCGAACTGAAAGAAGGAGCAGCCGCGCTTCCTGGACCGGATCGTCGTGGGACCGGAGCCAGATAAGGTACAGCAGCCCCTCTGCCCACCCCTGTACTTGGTGTCCGTTGGAGGAGGAGGGGGGGCGGCGCCGCCCCCCTCGAAAAAGTGCCGCCCTGACACCGGCTCGCCGTATACCGGCGTATAAGACGACCCCCGACTTCTCAAAAGATTTTCACGGGTTGAAAAGTCGTCCTATACGCCGGCAAATACGGTAAGTATCAGTCAGGCACTGATGTCGGACGAGAAGGCCTGGTTCGCAGTCTCAGCTCTAATTCATCCCAAAGGTGTTCTGTCAGGTTGAGGTCAGGACTCTGTGCAGGCCAGTCAAGTTCCTCCACCCCAAACTCACTCATCCATGTCTTTGAACTTTGCTTTGTGCACTGGTGCACAGTCATGTTGGAAAAGGAAGAGGCCATCCCCAAACTGTTCCCACAAACTTGGGAGCATGAAATTGTCCAAAATGTCTTGGTTTGCTGATGCCTTAAGAGTTCCCTTCACTGGAATTAAAAGGGCCAAGCCCAACCCCTGTAAATCAACCCACACCATAACTCCCCCCTTCACCAAACTTTACACTTGGCACAATGTAGTCAGGCAAGTACCATTCTCCTGGCAACTGCCAAACCCAGGCACGTCCATCAGATTGCCAGACAGAGAAGTGGTTCATCACTCCAGAGGACACATCTCCACTGCTCTAGAGTCCAGTGGCGGCATGCTTTACACCACTGCATCCAACGCTTTGCATTGCACTTGGTGATGTAAGGATTGGATGCAGCTGCTCGACCATTGAAATCCATTTCATGAAGCTCTCTATACACTGTTATTGTACCAATCTGAAGGCCACACAAAGTTTGGATGTCTTTATCTATTGACATTGCAGACAGTTAGCGACTTATGCACAGTGTGCGCTTCAGCATGCGCTGACCCCGCTCCGTCATTTTACATGGCCTACCACTTCGTGGCTGAGTCGCTGTTGTTCCCAGTTACTTCCACTTTGTTATAATACCAGTAACAGTTGACCATGGAATATTTAGTAGCAAGGACATTTCACAGATGGACTTATTGCACTGTTGGCAACCTATCATGATACAACGCATTAATTCACCAAACTCTTGAGAGTGACCCATTCTTTCACAAATGTTTGTAGAAGCAGTCTGCATGCCTAGGTTCTTGATTTATACACCTGTGGCTATGGGGGTGATTGGAAAACCTGCATCCAATGATTTGGAGGGGTGTCCCAACTTTTCTGGCAATATAATATATATACAGTATATAACATGCTAGAGGAAAGTGTATGTTATACATAGCCCCCATCTCCCAAATGTACAATGAAGAAAGAAACCACTGATTGCTAAAAAAAAAAATTTGCACATTTGGGGATATGGTATAATCTTAGCTTATTTACAGAATATGTGGTGTAAACTTTTTGGGTCAAGGATCTTGGTAAATTAGGGTCATTTTCTTAGAGCTGCTGATTCTCTGATGTCCTATGACGTATGTCTGATGAGTAAGTCCTTTCAGTAGCTCTGAAATGTTGCTTACATGTGATTAATATATTGTGCAAAAGAGTACAAAAGAGTGCTACACTTCCCCTTTATATTAATCAATCAATCAATCAATCAATCAATCAATCAGAAAAGTGTTTTCACAATGCAGTAAGCAAATCAATTCCACAGTGTATAAATTGCTAAAAATGAAATAGGTGGAGTTTAGTGGGCTGACGTCATCGCACATGCCGGCTGGTGGCTTCATCTGAGTTTTACTGGCTTTATTGTGAGTACCGTTTCTTAATTCCATTAAATTCCTTCTATACAGATTTACACTTTCTGATTGAATTCCTTATAGGGGAAACACAGCACTATTTTGTACTATTTTGTGTATGTTTTGTACTCAGACATTTTGGTGAGTGCTGCATCCTGCAGTGTTTATTCACTGTTTTTCACATTTATTGAACCTAGCACATGACTTATGTTTGGTATACTTAGATTATCAAATTATTGCTGCAAACCAGCATAGTTGTGTTCTTACCAGGGGCGGACTGACAACTCATGGGGCCCCCGGGCAATAGGGGATCATAGGGCCCCTGTGTCCTTGCCCAAACTCAAAAAAGCCTATGAAAAAGGTACCCGGGGCATCTCATGGGGCCCCTACTGACCCCGGGCCCTTGGGCAGTGTCTGAGTTTCCAAATGGTCAGTCCGCCCCTGGTTCTTACGTACAACAAGTTTTCAGATTTACTGTGACAGCACTATCTGTTTTTGTCACTACAGCACTCCAGTTTTGCTTTTTGTATTGCTGTAAGGTGTGCACCTGAAAATATCTTACTAGCTGAAGAGTATGGCCCTGTTCAAGTCTATGGTGACTAATAGACAGAGGCCAGAAAATACTGGGCTGGAGATAACTAGGAGGAGGCTGCCACTGTCATAAAGATGTAACTAAGCACCTGGGTGGGGAATGTCTGGGTTAGATTGGGTTAGGGGGAACTTGTGCTGACCAATTACAGGGAACGTTATGTAAACTCAATCATTAAAATCTCATACTGTATAAGCTTTTTCATGTTATGCCATTTTAAATTAAATCTGCAGCTATCATTCAAATAATACAATTGCAATTGTGCTTTGGCATTGTCACACTGTCACATAGGCTCCCAATGGTGGCTACAGGTGGCCATTTCACTAAACATTATGTAAGTATAGCTCATTTCGGTCACCATTAGGAAACCCCCCCAGAGGAACATCATACAATAATTTCTGAAGTGCATGTAGACTGGAAGTGGCTACAAAGAGGCTTTAGGAGTTCAGTACTACTGAGATTTAACAGTGTAAAAAAACGAGAACTCAAAACTTTTATTTAACCGCTTGCCGCCTCCACACAGTACATGTATTGTGGGTGGGCAGCACAACCAGACTAGGCAATGTACCCATACGTCACTGCCTGGTTTCCAGGTTTTGGGCACATGTGTGTGAGCCCCCTGCTGACCCATGCTATGATTGGACAAAGCATGAGTTTGTAAGCAGGTTTCAGCCAATGATTTTGTAACCAATCACAGCACTGTTTCTTCTTCTGATATGCAGGGAGAAAAAACAGCTAGATCTGTGAGTAAAAGCAGCATATAGCAGCATACAAAGTTTTTTTTTTTAAACTTGATTTTGTGCTTTAGGAGAAAGTGACTAGCCTCTGTGAGCTCAAAAATGGTGACCAATATGCTCCTGTAATACTTGTCTAAAGCGATTGTGTCTGATGACATAAACCTGCCTCACTAACTGTGTGGGAGGTGAAATTCACAGGAAATGGATAGAATAACATGCAAGGCAACTTGAGTAACCCACCAACTGTCACCAGGGATTATAAATGGTACAAGCTAGGTAAAATCCTTGGAAATCCACATTAGGAAGCTGTGCATGCTCTAGGTTCAGTTCATATCCACATAAATCTATTACAAGTTTGCTCCCAGCTATACCATTATTTGAAAGTGTTAAACGCAGAATGCTTTATGATTACAATTCTAAGATAATGAGACCCGATAAAATCTTTCTTTGTTTACATTTTAAAAGTGAGGCAATTTTTTATATTATACGGACCTGAAGAAACAGTGTGAACGCACAATATTTTTAGGTTTTCTTCAACAAATTTTATGCTCTGACAAGTTAAAATGCCAGATCATTGAGTACTGACCTGGTATTTTATGGTCTACTACACCTTTAAACATAAGAGTTTTCTACTGACCTTGCTACACTAAAATCATTATAAAACTGCTCTAATTTTGGTTCCCAAGTTGTCTATGACCTTCATAAAATTAGTGTACCAGCTGGGAACATGCTTCTTACCAAAAGGGAAAAGACTTATTGCACTCAAAAAAGCAATTTGAGATTATTTGAAAGATATTGCACTCTAAATGAAAATGTACCTCTGCAACAAGCAGGGCCAGCACTGCTTATATTTCACCTATGTGCATTTCCTATGAGGCAATAGATCAAGTCCCTGGGCACTGCAGTCACCAGTATAATTTCTCAGCAGTATCCATGGATGCCAGTATTATTTTTCACTAACATGACAAATTCATTCTTCATATAAAACATGCAGATGGCATGTGTAAAGAAAAAATGCAAAAATACACGTGTAGAGAAATCTAACCAGATTTATGAACACCAAAAATACACACGGGGAAAACATGTATTTTAGTCATTTTACATACTGTTTTATTATATCACTGTATATGCTTTTTTCATATATTGTATGTTTATCAATTAGCCTTCTACAATATATATATATATATATATATATATATATATATATATATATACATACATACATACATACAGGTGAAAGTCGAAAAATTTGAATATCGCGCAAAAGTTCATTTATTTCAGTAATGCAACTTAAAAGGTGAAACTAATATATGAGACTCATTACATGCAAAGCAAGATAGTTCAAGCTGTGATTTGTCGTAATTATGATGATTATAGTTTACAGCTCATGAAAACCCCAATCCACAATCTCAGAAAATTAGTATATTGTGAAAAGGTGCAATATTCTCGGCTCAAAGTGTCCCACTCTAATCAGCTAATTAAGCCATAACACCTGCAAAGGGTTCCTGAGCCTTTACATGGTCTCTCAGTCTGGTTCAGTAGGAATCACAATCATGGTGACTGCTGACCTGACAGTTGTGCAGAAAACCATCAGTGACACCCGCCATAAGGAGGGAAAGCCTCAAAAGGTAATTGCAAAAGAAGTTGGATGTTCCCAAAGTGCTGTATCAAAGCACATTAATAGAAAGTTATGTGGAAGGGAAAAGTGTGGAAGAAAAAAGGTGCACAAGCAGCAGGGATGACCGCAGCCTGGAGAGGATTGTCAGGAAAAAGCCATTCAAAAGTGTTGGGGACTTTCACAAGGAGTGGACTGAGGCTGGAGTCAGTGCATCAAGAGCCACCACACACAGACGGATCCTGGACATGGGCTTCAAATGTCATACTCCTCTTGTCAAGCCACTCCTGAACAACAAACAATGTCAGCAGCGTCTTACCTGGGCTAAAGAAAAACATACCTGATCTATTGCTCAGTGGTCCAAAATCCTCTTTTCTGATGAGAGCAACTTTTGCATGTCATTTGGAAACCAAGGACCCAGAGTATGGAGGAAGAATGGAGAGGCACATACTGCAAGATGCTTAAAGTCCAGTGTGAAGTTTCCACAGTCTGTGTTGATTTGGGGAGCCATGTCATCTTCTGGTGTTGGTCCACTGTGCTTCATTAAGTTCAGGGTCAACGCAGCCATCTACCAGGAGATTTTGGAGCATGCTTCCTTCCGCAGACGAACTTTATGGGGATGCTGACTTCATTTTCCAGCAGGACTTGGCACCTGCCTACACTGCCAAAAGCACCAAAACCTGGTTCAACAACCGTGGGATTACTGTGCTTGATTGGCCAGCAAACTCGCCTGACCTGAACCCCATAGAGAATCTATGGGGCATTGCCAAGAGAAAGATGAGAGACATGAGATCGAACAATGCAGAAGAGCTGAAGGCCGCTAATGAAGCATCCTGGTCTTCCATAACACCTCAGCAGTGCCGCAGGCTGATAGCTTCCATGCCACGCTGCATTGAGGCAGTAAATGCTGCAAAAGGGGCCCAAACCAAGTACTGAGTACATATGCATGCTTATACTTTTCAGAGGTCCGATATTGTTCTATGTACAATCCTTGTTTTATTGATTGCATGTAATATTCTAATTTTCTGAGATTGTGGATTTGGGGTTTTCATGAGCTGTAAGCCAAAATCATCACAATTATGACAAATCACGGCTTGAACTATCTTGCTTTGCATGTAATGAGTCTATCTCATATATTAGTTTCACCTTTTAAATTGCATTACTGAAATAAATGAACTTTTGCACGATATTCAAACTTTTCGAGTTTCACCTGTATATACACACACACAGAGTTGTGCTCAAAAGTTTGCATGCCCCGGCAGAAATCGTGAAATTTTGGTATTTGTATTGAACACATGACTGATCGTGCCAAAAAAAACCTGTCTTTTATTTAAGGATAGTGTTCATATGCAGCCATTTATTATTATAACATAGTTGTTTGGATCCTTTTAAAATCATAAGGATAGCAGAAATCACCCAAATAGCCCAGATCAAAAGTTTACATACCCTGAAATGTTTGGCCTTGGTACACACATCGGTTAAAATGGCAACTAAAGGTTAATTTCCCACATTTGTGACTTTTTACATTTAGTGCAATTATTGTCTGTGTATAAATGGTCACTACGTTTGTTAGCTCGCACATGGATTCACTGAGCAGGCTAGATACTGAGCCATGGGGAGCAGAAAAGAACTGTCAAAAGACCTGCGCAACAAGGTAATGGAAGTTTATAAAGATGGAAAGGGATATTAAAAGATATCCAAAGCCTTGAATATGCCAGTCAGTACTGTTAAATCACTTATTAAGAAGTGGAAAGTTCAGGGATCTCTTGATACCAAGCCAAGGTCAGGCAGACCAAGAAAGATTGTAGAAAAACTGTTCGGGATACAAAGAAAAACCCACAGGTTATCTCATTAGATATACAGGCAGCTCTGGAAAAAGATGGTGTGTTTTTTTTTACGAAGTACAATATACTTGAACAAAAATGAGCTGTATGGTCGTGTTGACAGAAAGAAGCCTTTACTGCTCCAATACCACAATAAAGCCCAGTGAGGTGTGTCAAGGTGTTGTGAAGCATATTGTAACCGGGCTTTTTCTGTATACATAGTATATACAATTTTTATTTTTATGTGTTAGAAAGGGAAGCTTTGATCTCCTGAAATGCATTGGCTGTTCATGGATAAATAAAGACATCAACAAATAAATTGCTGAGTTGAATGACTGAATGTACTAGGCACACACCAGGTGCTCTGTGTATGACAAAACAGTACCTCCTTTGGTTTCAGCAGGAGTTGAGTAAACTGGGACCATACTATGGTACTCATATACTGTACCTCCACTGTAGTTGAACTCTCAAATGGGATCTCAACCAACACAGCCATGATTAAATCCTGACCAGCACTACCACATATTGATAGGTCGCCCCTTACCTGGTGTCTGGCTTCAAGTTTTCTACTGTAGAATATGTCTGATTTGTGGTTATGATTGACTGATTCTTTCCTTCAGGTGCTCCATTTTCTGTTGAGATGACTTTAAACTCTAAAATAGAATAAAAAGAACAATAAAAAGTTTCTTTTACTTTATTTCTCTTATGCTGGTTATCTTGAGTATAAAATTTGATCATTGTTAACTTTGGCACAGTATTGTACAGTAGCAAGATTTTTTTCGGGTAAAAAGTGTAAGGAGCAAATCGTGTTCATTAATAAAACTCCACCTTCTATAGGTCAATCATCAGTAAACCTTGCGAGATTAAAAGGAGTATCCCTTGAGACCTGTAAAGGTAATATGAAGATTTGGACACTTTGAAAAGTGTGCACACTGTTCTCCTCCCCCACCCTACCACTATATTTCCCATGGCAATGCCTTACCCTTTGGATAGGATGATTGGAATATTTCTGGCATTAGCTAGAATTAGAGTAGGTAATATTAATTGATTTTAATTGTAAAATAGTATAAATATAGAACAACTAGTGGCAAGAAAGTTGTTCTGCTTCAAAATCCCATCCTGAGGCCAATATAACAAACTCAAAGTTATTTTATACATTTTTTAAACCTTTCATCACCATCCTGCAAAGAGCAAAAACTTCTTGGAAGAAACTAGTACCTATGTTCTTTATCTATACATGATAAAAGTTTTCAAAGTAAAAAAATTATCCTTTATTGGGGAACAAAAAATTGGGGGATTACTGGGTGCAGTGGGTCTCACTCTGGTGGCTGTTGGACTGTAAATATTTTTAGACATTCTGTACAAGTGCTGAACTGAAAAGGTAACACTGTGAAAATGTAGGTTGTTAGTAGAGTTGTATTTATTATTGCATATCTATTTCTGTGATTTCAGCTGGGCTTTAACATTTAGGGCTCAAGGTCTAGTTTTTCAAAATGATGCACCCAGAAAGATTAATGTTCAACTTTAATCAAAGTTAGTTAATGTTCAAATTTATCTCTTTAAATATGTGCTTTAAAATTATACTAACCAGTAGCTGTGTCATTATTAGGCATTTCCCAATCTAAAATAACAAAGGAAGAACACCCCTCTACAGTCACAACAGTAAGGTTAGAAGGAGGGTTCTGGGGAGGAGTTGAAATGTCCTGGTTGGTGCTCTCCTCTGTTGGGAAGTGTTTAAGAGAGTCCGTGATGGAGCAGGGTCTATTTTCTTTTTTGTTTATGTATAATACATGTGATCCTGCAGGAACAAAAAAAAAAATAAAAATAACAATGATAATGATGGTAACACACACAAACCAAATGTCAAGTTATTTGCCTGTAATACTTGGGGTGTGGACTGCTTTTTTAATGGATCTTGTATAATTACATAGTAAGAAATAATACTTAGCAGACAGTTCCATTTAGAAATGATAACCAAGTTCTAAATGGTACTAACATAAATGGTACATGCTGAATCACATGCTATTTTATTATAGGCATAGTGCACCCACAGGTTCAATAAATGCACCCACATTACTTAAATAAAAAATATGCAATTATTAAATTTTTGCATTCAAGCCTACAGAGCACCACAACCATGATCAATGCATTGTGTGTGCAATGCAAAGGCCCTATAATGTTTACCACCAGCTCCAGAACTGTACAGACTTTCCATTATGAGTATGTAGGAAGAAAACAATGGACTACGAGTGCAGTCATTGCACTTGTGCTGGAGATTTCTGTGAGTCCCTTTGCAATAGTGCCAGATGGGACTTTTACTATTCACAGATCACAGATTAATGGATGATGTGGCTATGTGAGCAGAGCCACACACAGCTATGTAAAATTCAAATATCAACAGATGTCAACAGATGTCTGCAGATGTCATGTATGGCGTAGAAAAAATACTACAGTATATATTTCTCACATCTGTTTCATAACCAATACATTCTACACTATTCTGTATCATACGTTATATCCTGTATAAAAGGTCCATAGCTAAAATGTGGAATAGGCTAAAGAACTTACCTGGATAGTTACAATAGTTTTTTTTTTTTTCTGTAACATTCAACTGAAATATAATTATTAGGCTTCGTTCACAATGGTGTACTACAGTGTGCACATACTACAGTGCACAGAACATGTCCGGGAAAAAGACGGCCTTCGCATAAGTGTATGTTGTAGTACACCTGTGTGAATGGGGCCTTTGCCACAATAATATAAATATACGGCATGTAAACGATATTTCAGAATAGCTTAAAGTGACACTAAAGCTTTTTATTTTTTTATTTAAATATCAAACATGGTTATACCTACCTCCTCTATGCAGTGATTTTGCACAGGGCAGCCCTGATCCTCTTCTTTTAGGGTTCCCGCCGGCACTCCTGGCTCCTCTCCAATAAAGCAGTGCCCCCAGGGAAAGCCACTCACCCTGGGGGCACGGCATTGTGCTCTTCCCCGAGCCACTGCTCTATGCCTCCATAGGACACATAGAGCCAAGGCTTGGCACCGACCCCCGTTATCCCCTTATTGGCTCACTGACCAATGGGCTCCTACTGCTGTCTGGACCAGAGGTGGCACAGGTAAAGACTGTGGGGGGTTGGGGGGCCGCTGCACACATAAAATTTTTTACTTTCATGCATAGAATGCATGAAGGTAAAAAACCTCGAGCCTTTAGAACTACTTTAAATCATATCTAAATTCAATAACAAAAATGTAATATAATGGAAGCCTACAAGTCCTTAGAAGTGGTCTGTGTTTTTAAAGCTTTTTCTTAACTGATGATCCTCCCTGCAACATACTTTCTGTTCTAGGGTGGCAACACTTTACTCACTGTACTAAATCAATGGAGCAGTAGCATTGTAACCCTAGGACAGACTTAAGATCACCATTCCCCCTTTCTCTTCTATAGGGGAAGGTGTTCTGTACTGCACAAAGATGAACTGGACAAGGATGATAAAACTTCTTAAAACAGCATTGCAAAGTGCACAGGAAATGACAAGCTCACTGCATTTCTGTCAAGATCAAAGGTTTAAGGACGAAGTGATTTTTGAATTTTGTATATTTAACAGACCAAAAGGAGACGTTATTTATTAGGTTTTACATATACACTACATTATAGTACTGCCCTATTGGATCATTGCAATGATTGCAATGAAGTATTACAGGGCAGTATATATATATTTTTTTCAATACCTTTACAATTTATTTTCTGAAGTTATATATGTTATGAAGTATCCTGTACAGTCAAAAATATGTACATTTACAAAGCAGTGAATGTTACATTCAGCAAACATTCAGTGCAAGTGCAATTTCTGGTAAATGTGTTTTAAATTACAGTTAATGTTTCATTGGCAGTGAATGTTTAGTGAATATCACATTCACTGCATTATTAATATGCTCTTTGAGTGGTTCTGTTGCACATCACATCTGGACACTTGTCTAATGCGTCTGCTTTATTCTTGTGATTCATATTACACAGCTTTGTGAATCTTGCAGAAAGTAACTAAATAAATAAACCAAAAAAATCTGTTGCTACATATTATTTAAAATGTATAAATAACTTACCCGTATATCTCTGTTTGCCCACTGTATCAACATCTGACTTTGGAAATGTATTGAATACATTCGGGTCCACTAAAATGTATCAAGCAAGAAGTAGATTATCTTGTGTTCATGACAAAACAGGCCTAAAGTAAAATGCAATACATTGTGCAAAAAAAACCCAACAACTTTACAGGACATTTCTTCACATTGCTTGGTTTTCTTTGCAAAATCTATTGCTGTGTTGGATATGTTGTGGGGTCAGCAATAGAACTGTGCATTATTCATTCATTCAAGATGTTAAGCCTGCTTTAAGGTAATAGTACAAGTAATAAATATATATATATATATATATATATATATATATATATATATATATATATACACACACACAGTCATTAAATAATCACTAGTAATGATAAAAACAGAAGTATTGATGGAATACATAAGATAATACCTAAAAACATATACAAATGAAACAGATACAAATAAAGTTATTCTTTGCATCCTTCTTATTGCTGTTTTTGCCTTTTACCTTTTCCTTTAAGATCTCACTGTAAAGCAGGATACAGCATTTATTTGGTGTGAAAAAAAAAAGATTTTTTCTGTAACATATGACCATCTAGACACAACTATACTTACCATTTATCACATCAATTTTAAAAATAAGGAAACTATGACTTCACAATAAGCATAATAAGACAAAAATATGAAATAGCAAACGGCACCGTAAACAGATTTTGTATAAAGATTGAATTTATTCCTTGAGAAGAGACAATTAGGTGGGATATGATTACCATGTATAAATACGCAAGTGGTCCATATATATCCAACGTGGTGCACAGTTATTCACTTTTCGGTCATTAAAAAGGACAAGAGGGAACTCTTTATGTCTGGAGGAAACAAGTTTTTACCTCTACATACATAAAGGTTTCTTCACAGTAAGAGCTGTGAAAATGTGGAATAGCCCCTTCCCCAGGAACTTGTTCTGGCCAGCTCAGTTGATTGTTTTAAAAAAAGAGTTGGATACATTCCTAAATATAGAGAATATAACTGAATATTACATGGTCATTAACACCAGAGATTTTTGATCTAGGGAATATCTGATCCGGAATTTATGATCAGGACGGCATTTTTTACCTCCTTGGAGCAAATTGGACCAAGCTTTACAGGGTTTTTTTGCCTTCTTCTGGATCAGTTGTGAACATATTGGAACTATGATCTATAAATGATAAGTTGTTTCACTGCAACTTATGTATTTTTCCCTAATAAAGATGAGCAAACTCATTTACGTGGAATTACATGGATACAAGGATGGGAATGTATTTTTATTGAGTGGTCAATCACTCGGGTTTTTCTTACATCTCTCATGGCTTTGCTGCTACTAATTATTGGCAGGGCATTAAAAATCAAAGAGCTTCAGATTGCTGTGGTTAGTCAAAAATCTTATCACAGAGCACATATGAATTGACTTCCTGTGTCTAGAGGTCACTTATCAATTTGCTTCATCAGTGCCCTAGTCCCTCTCCTCTTCTTCCATGTGGAGTTGCATGAAGGTACTCTTGTTCAAAAGAAGGAACATGCCTCTAACCTAATCTCTGTCCTAGGGATTTATAATTGCTAAAGCCATTGAATGGCCTCTGTAACATCCATGAAGTGACCACCATTAGATCCAGGAAATGTTTACCATTCTTATTAGGGTTTGGCTACTACTAAGATCCAAGAATCAACCACCATTGTTTCAGCCAAAAAATTACAACATAATCAGCCAGGTACTAGTTATGACCAAAAACCAGAAAAGGACCATCACCATTATAGCCAAAGACTGAACACCACATTTACAACATCATTGCTGTGGAATAACTATTGCTAGAGGCATTAAATGTCTATCACATTTACAGTATATGACTGCTATAGCCGCCACAGTAATACTTCTGTAGACCAGGCGATAATAAACACACTGCAACTGAAACAAAATAGTCACTATATTAAATATGCTTAATTTTACATGATCAAGGGGTTGATTTACTAAAGGCAAATAGACTGTGCACTTTGCAAGTGCAATTACACTAATTTTCCCCAGAGCTTAATAAATGTGGCTTCACTTTGTAAAGATACCTAATCAGGTGCAAGGAAAAAAAAAACAGAATTTTTGATTGCACGTGATTTGATTATGGAAATCACCAGAGCTTCACCACATTCACTATGCTCTGGGGAAAATGAGTGTGACTGCACTTGTAAAGTGCACAGTCTATTTGCCTTTAATGAATCAACCCCAAAGCCTTGCAAGTCAATCTTTTTCTTGCGTCCAGGTGGCCAACTATGCTGTTTTGCAAAGTTGTGTCCAGTTACCTTAAATAAGCAATAAACATCTTTTTTTTCCTCCTCATTTTGGATCTGTGATGAGAATGAAGACATGCATATTTCTCCAGTTATAAGAATGCAACACTGTGTTTCACAGCAGTGGAGAGGGGCTCCTTGGTTCCATTTTGTCACCTCACTTTCAGTTGACTAGTTGTCCTGTCTCAGTGTTCCTCAAACCACTTTCCACAGAAGCTATTGTTTCCATATCTTCCAAGTTTGCCCAATAAATTTGATAGCAAATAGTGGATCTGGATAACACTGAACACTGGGAAGTAAAGAAGTTATTTGCATGACTCCACTATCATTAACAGAGGAACAGACACTAAGGGGTTTATTTACTAAAGCTGGAGAGTGCAAACTCAGGCTCACTTCTGCATAGAAACCAATCAGCTTCCAGGTTTTATTGCTTAAATGACTAAGCTGAGGTTAGAAGCCGATTGGTTTCTATGCAGAAGTGAGCCTGATTTTTCACTTTCCAGCTTTAGTAAATAAACTTCATCGCTCCTTATTTGTGATAGAAATGTTGGTTTATAAATACCTTCTCTTTCAAGATGAAGAATGTAGTCAGTATTTTGGAGGAGGACTTTTTGGTTCCTCTTGGCTACCTGTCTCATCTCTTCTCCCTCCCCATTTGCCTTGGCTGACATGTGTTTCAAATTGTACTTTTTTTCCTTCTCAGTCAACTTTGCAAACATTTTTTCATACATGCCTATTCATAACTGTAGTGTTTTCATTTCCCCAGATCAGAGCCTGGCTGCAATGGAGAAAACTTAAGTAATATGTCTGCCAATAGAAAACTGAAAGGAACACCCAGCTGCCTGAGATCATTATTATTACTGGATGAAAACATGTCTAAATGGCAAAAGTCCTTTTCATAAGATATTTTTTTTCTGTTTTTTGCTATTTCTTTGAATCATTGTTTTTATTCCTGGATCAAAATGTTTAGTGGAACTTGAAGAATTCTACAGAGAATCTATTCTCACGTGGAACACAGAGCTGTAGGAATAGTTCACATTTGTTTCTAAACTAGGCTATAGCATCATTTATGAAAGAAGAAACTGCTTTCTATATAAAATATTAAACTGAACACTTTTTACATTCCTTACTAAGGAAACCTGTACGTTTCTCTCTGACATCTTAATTACCTCATTTACATGGCTTTCCATTTGCTAAATGTCTCCTTAATTTGATTCTTAGCAAAACAAATCAGAGAGCACAGTTTACTCTTGATTTGGTAGTGTACTCATAGTGGTTGATTTACTAAGGGCAAGCAGACTATTCACTTTGCAATTGAAGTTGCACTTTGTAAGGGCATTATCACCAGAGTTTAGTGAATGAGGTGAAACTCTGCTGACTACCATCATCTAATCATGTGCAAGCAAAAATGCTGGTTATTTTTTAATTTTCCTTGTCATTTGGTATTCTTTGCAAAGTGAAATTTCATTGTATTCACTAAGCTCTGGGGAAAATTCCCTTGCAAAGTGAACTATCTATGTTCCTTTAGTAAATCAAACCCCATAGTCCACATTTAGGCATGGTAGTTAGAAAAATAATAAAAAATAAATGGCCACTATTACACTTTTCTCTGTGTCTTCTATGTTATCTTTCTTTACCTCTTGCATACAGTTTTTTCACCAATTGATCTTCTGTTTTTTTAAATGACAAACATTAGGCAACATAAGATAATAGCTGGATTTCATTGCTTCTATTGAAATCCAAAAACAGAACGTCATTTGAGGTGAGGATTGTCCCTAATCTGTAAATCAATTGCCCCAGTAACATATCTAACATCTAACATTTCTAAACTCTGTTCTCTTATCTCTTACAACAGCCTCTATCACTACAGTTTGTCAAGAAAAGTTTAACAATTTTATATTTCATTGCTCCTGTTTATAATTCTGTGTGTAAATATGTGAGTCTCAGAGTCATTTTTTAGAAATGTCTTAGCCTCCCTAGCAGTCTGATTATGTCCATATTTCTGTGCTCAAAGCGGTACATTTTTTTGCATGGAAATATGTATTTTTTTTATTGTAGGCCTGTCATTTTTAGGAATAACTCACTAAAATCTGTCCGAACAAGAGTCTAGTAAACATCCCGGGTAGGATAAAACTTGAAACATGAAATCATAAATTGTAATTTAATAAATAATCATAAAAATAATAATATAATAATACATTTAATTCAATAATATAATCAAACCAAGAAACACTGAAATTTGAAATATAGAGCCAAGTTCGCACATCACTGAGCAAAGTCGCAAAATCGTTTTCAGTGTCTGATGATGAATTTCCCCACGAATCATTATCACTCAATTCTGCAAGTAGTTCTAATTTACTATCGCTGTTCTCTAGCTGGCCTAAAACCGCTTTTGACCTAAAGGGACGCTTTTTGGATGCCATGGACTTTTCTCAGTTTCCAGGCAGAAAAAACAGTAAAAATGCAGGCAGGGCACAGGACAAAGCACTAGGGAAAAAATGTATGTGAAATGGTTTGATACAGTAATGTTTTACTATGTGATTTTAGTGAATGTCACTTTTTGTCAATTTCAAATTTCCCGCCGTTCCGTCCCCCGTATGTGCCGACGCTCGCAAGGGACGGAACCCAGATGACAGATGCCGGCATCGGCCGGATTACATTGCCGGGGATACTGCAGGAGGGACATCGCGGGAGTGCAGGACAAGGTAAGTGATCGAGGGATCGCGGAGCAGCGCCACATGGTAAGCCCGAGT